TGTAGGCATTGTACAACTTTCTCCTCTAAGCAGTTGTCTTGACGTCAGCATTCTGAACCAGTCAGCGGCCACATTAGCTCATCTCACAAGAGCTTTTACAGAGTAGGCTTGAGATGTTTATGGTTGACCGAAGTACTGTGATTCTTTGGAACTCACCACTAGTGTTTATTCTCCTAGATTTGGTGTTTACATGTTTTTAAAGAAAACAATAAACTTCCTTGATACCTTTCCCCTGTTGTGTATGATTTCTAAGCAAAAGCTCCTAAAATAAGTTGTTTTTCTTCAACTGCTTTTTAAATTTCTCTTAAGCCTTGAATTTTGGCATTTTTAGGCTGTGCGTAGTGAAGTAGTTCCCTTTATTCTCTTTCTTGGCGGAGTTTTCTGAGTTCATTGGATCTATGCTCTTAAAGGTTTTCTTATGTGAAAAATTTCATCTCCTGTCTTCACAGATGTCTTCCTTCATTTCCTGTCTTCACAGATGTCTTCCTGCATCTCCTGCTCTGGTGTCGACTGTTCGATGCTGTCCCCCAGGCGCTGAGCCCCTGGCATCTCCCCCCTTCCCCTCATTAGCTTGAATGGCTTTTCTTGGTACACCTTCAAGTCTGCTGGCCTTTTGTCTGGTCTGCTGTTGGTCCCAGAGCGGTTTTGACGCAGGTGCAGTTTTCAGCTTTGCGTGTCCCGTGTCCGTCACTTCTAGTGGCTTTTCTCTGTCATTTTGTTCTTTTTCTTTTGTAAATTTTGATAGGATGACTAACGTTATGGATTTTGTTTACTGACTGTTAGAATTTTTTATTTTAAATAATGTTAGACTTTGTTTTGACATGTAATTAAGTTACTAAGTCATTGGCTGGAATGTAAACTAATAACATTTCCAACCTGGGTGAATGCCGTCTTGACTATGTCAAATAAATTTTAAGAAAGAATGAATCTTGCAGCGTCACCATCATGTAATGCCTGCCTTAAGCCTCGTGTTGATTATGTGTTGTGCGTGGAGTGACTGGCCGCTCCACATCATGCTTCCTGACTCATTTTCTCTGATATATAAGGAAGGAGAAAGGATGTTTTGTCTTATTTAGATTTGTTGTTTATGACAGTGGTCACCTGCACCTCAGTGTGATTCTTTACTGTTTGCTGTTACAATAATTAATCTGGAGATCCGTTGAGGTCCCAGTTGCTTGTTGTGACCAGGTGGAGATTTGATGGCCGAGAGCAGTGGCTTTTTGTTTGAGGCTAGATGGCAGCCTGGAAAGGAGAGGGTCCCTTTCTACAGAGAATCACAAGATGTATTCTTCTGTGTTCATTTGCGGGGTGCAAGTGAATTTTTCCACTTGTAGAAAGCACACCACAAGTCAATCTTTCTGTTTCCTCAAGTCAAGCGTTTCCATGGCATTCATCTGCTTGTGCTTGCAGAGAATCACAAGATGTATTCTTCTGTGTTCATTTGCGGGGTGCAACTTTCTGTTTCCTCAAGTCAAGCGTTTCCATGGCATTCATCTGCTTGTGCTTCTTGGGGTATTGTCTGTTTATAGCCCAGGGCTCACTGCCATGGTGCGCCGACCAAGTGAGGGTGCTTATTTACTTGTACAGGTGACCCTGCTTGTCTTTCACATCAAATCTTCCCCTCCGGTCAGGGCATGATCTTTGTATCACTGAGATTTGATTCTCTCTAGTCCCCGTTAAACCCTCTTCAACTTTCATGTTGATCACCGGAGCCCATTCACCACATGGAACTGCTGGGCAGGAGGGAAACAGACTTTTGTGTTTTGCAGGACACTTTATTTACATCATTTAGCACAATTATTTAAAAGAGAACCTCACAACTAAATAGCCCAAAACGTTTCAGAATGAGAACCACTCTCCTTATTAGCCTAGGATTTGGTAACGCTTCTCTGGGCTCCCGGGCTCCCGTTCTGTCACAGAGCAAGAGTCTTTACTACTGTTTCACATCTGACTACATTTTATGTTCATCCTGCCTTTCTTTCTGGGTTTGGTACGTAATTAACTGATCAGGTATCTGTGCTGTGCTTTTCAGGGGTCATACATCCTAATGCATGAGATGCATCGTTGTGGGAAGGAAGCTCTGGATTGTGAGCACTGCGCTCAGTAGTACTGGTGATGCAAAACTAAGAAAATGCAGTCTCTCCTTACTGTTCATTTAAAGCATATCAGAGGAACCTAAGTAAAGGGAAAAAAGCCTTGTAATGCTGTAGTGCACTTGAAAGAAATGAAAAGGTGTTGAAATGGCCTCTGGTCCCAAACCCTGCTGTGAAATTTCTTTTGTAGCATGTAGAAAGTACATCCAGAACTCACGCTAGTCGATGGTAAGTGGGCACAGTGACATTGGAGGCCTGCACCATTACTTAGTGACCCTCAGTATCTCCTGATACATTAGGCTTAATCCTCCTTAGGGTGGAGTCAGAGTGTTACCTTTATTTTGTTTAGTGCAATGTAGAGATTTTAAATGGTTTGGCCAAGTCCCACACACAGCAAGTTGGCGGCACAGCCAGGATTTGAACCTCAGCTCATGCCTGGGTCCGCAAAACCCACAGTTAATCACTGCAGAGCCACTGTGGTTTCTTTACTTCTGTAGCTGGGATTGAATACAGAGCCTTGTCCATGCTGGGCAAGCCCCCTGCCACTGAGCTATGGTGCCAGCCCAGAACTGTTGCTCCTAACCACTGAAACATCTGGAAGAGAAAGGTCACCTTGGCATGCATAACCATGCCCTTTGCCCAAACAAGCCATTTCACAGCGACAGAGAAGGCGTGGGGGTAAAACTTAAAGCTAATGCATAAGTTAAGCTAAGCTATTTGTTGTATTACTTTATGAGACTTAAATGATAAATGTAGTTGGTCTAAGGGAATAGGTAGGTGCTGTAACGACTTATTTCCAAATTTAATTATAGTTCAGGGCATTTAACTTGCCAAACCAAGTGTGCGTACACGTCTTGGAATGTATATTATTCATAAAAGACCCAGAGTGGTTTGAAAAAAGTATAGTAATGGGGGCTAGAGAGATGGTTCAGTGGTTAAGAACACTGGTTGTTCTTGCGGAAGACCCAGGTTCGAATCTCAGCACCCACATGGCAGCTAACAACTGTCCGTAACTCCAGTTCCAGGGGATCTGACAGCTTCTCTGTCCTCCGCAGGCATTGCACGACACAGGTGCACTTACATACATGCAGGCAATACTCACATACACATAAAATAAAAAGAATAAATAAAATATGAAAGAAAAGTAATGAAAAATCAGTTTTTAACTTGCCGATGGAATTTTTCTTTTTCGGGGTCTTTTTCAGACAGTTTCCCTGTAGCCCCAGCTGGCCTAAACTCACTATGTAGACCAGGCTGGCCTTGAACTCACAGAGCTCGGCCTGCCTCTGCCTTCCAAGTGCTGGGATTAAAGGCATGTGCCACCATGCCCGGCTTTGCTGATGGAATTTTAAAAATAAATTTCAACACTAAGTTTGTGTAATTCTGTTAGAATTTCCATTGTGTGTGGGGCACACATGGGTTCACACTTGCCCATGAGGTGGATGTGGAGGTCAGAGGGTCACGTGACGTTTTCCTCAGTGCTTCTCCACTTTTCTGAGTGCATCTAGGAACCTAGAGCTCTCCATTTCTGCCCCCCCTTCCTGTTGTTGGTTCTGGGGCTGCAGGTGGACATGACCATGGTGGACATTTTCCATGGGTGCTGGGGACTTGAACTCAAGTCCTCATGCTTGCACAGAAAACCCTGCACCCACTGAGCCAGCTCCTTAGCCTCAAATTTCTATTTTCCCCCAAAATTGTTTCTTTTCTGGTTCCATCGCATTTAATAATAATGATAGCACACTTTGACTGTTCTTTATTTTCCTTGTGATTTGGAACTGGCATTGATTTATATATTGTGCTGTAAATTGCCAGGAAGAGAATTGTGCACTGGAGAGAGTTTAGGAGTCATGTTTTCTGTACTATATAAAGCGTCTTCCGTAAACAATGATCAGATGAGATGGACTGTGGTGATCTGCATCTGGAAAGGATTTAATAATTGGTCCCTTCTATTTGCAGCTTTAGGATCATATTTGCTCTTTATGTGAGTGAATTTTATCGTGCTAGATTGTAGAGATGGAACTTTATCAAAATAGCGATATTACTTGAGAAGCTGGTTGGCAGCGGAGAAGACAGGCTGCATTTCATGGGAAAGTCACCAAGGCATGCGCTTTTTAGCGACAAGAAGCAAGTTCTTTTTCTTCTTCTTGGCAGTCTACTCTTCTACCACCATCTGAACTTTGCTTTGTCCTGTTTTCCCCTCAGTTTTCCTCTTTTCGTTTTGATGTGTTAGAATCTACATAACATGATTGACTGTCATAACCATTTTTAGATGGCTCAGTGGTGTTGCGTAGGTATGTAATGTTTTCTGGACGGTAGCCGTCAGAGAACATAGGACTGTTGAGTTACCCCATGGTGCCCTTGCTCTGCCTCCTTGCGTGGGTCGAGGTTAAGTTCACACATGCACATGGCTCTGCTTCCGTGCAGGCCATGCCCTCAGAAAGACAGGGCGAGGCCCTGGAGTCCAGGGCAGGGCGAGCTCGCCCACTCAGCTAAGCTTGTCGGCTTGTCGGTAGCTAGTACACAAGTCTATTTTTAGCTCTGTCTCATTTGTGCCTTCTGGTCTTTTGTTGTCTTTCCCCCTCTATCCATAGTGTTACCTTGAAGCTCAGTGAAGTTGGGAAGGGCCCCGAAAATGGCAGAAACAGCACACTGACTGTGCCACGTGACGTGACGCACCACCTCCATGTGACGCACCACCTCATACTCTGGTGGTTCACGGTCAAGAGTGGTCACAACCACTGTTGTCATGTCCTGGGACTGAACAGGCCTCGTGGGTTTCCACAGAGGAAAGAGGGGGATTAGGATGCTGAGGAGACACATGTAGAGAAGCTTCAGCATTTGTAGAGACTGCCACTGCCGTTAGGATGTCACTAAACACATCCTTTCTCCACTTACTGTCTTTCATAGGCAGGAGTGCATGCTGGGAGATTCAGCTTGCAAGAGTCTGGAGTCTGATCCAGAGGACTTTTCTGATGAAGCAAATCCAGAAAACCTCTATGGCACCTCACCCCCCAGCACGCCTCGGCAGATGAAGCGCATGTCAACCAAACACCAAAGGAATAACCCAGGGAGACCGGCCAGCAGATCCAGTTTGAAAGGTGAGTGAGTCTGCAACGTAGAAAGGTGCACATGAAAGCATACAGTTGTGCGTCGTCTTTATGTGACGTGTACTATGGATAGCTCTTTAATAACGGTGAACCCTTTTATCTTAATATGGTTTTAGATTTTGCTAATTTTTGAATTTTTACCATCAGCGATGCTAGTAGGAGAAACAGATGATTATCCAGTGCTGGGGAAGTTTGTCCTGAGTTGTAGTGAAGTCGGGGACAGGAGGCTTTTGAAACTGTCAGAGAGGCCCATTGTTTTCTACCATGCTAACTCAAGTGGCCAGACACCAGGTAGATGGCCCATGATTACTCTTTCAGTCTCTTTGGCTAGGGTTTCTAGATTCTTCTCCCCAGGTGCTGTGTTTGGGGATGTGGGAAGAGACAGCCGGCTCGCCTCCGGATCCCAGAGCCTCTGAGGCTGCTGTCTTCTGCTAGTAACAGTCAGTGCTGTTGGTGTGCAGGGCTCTCACTTGCTGAGATGATTCCGTATCTGAGAGCCATGGATGGAGCCCATCATCCACTTTCCTCCTTATGGAGAATTTCTAAGCCCAGCCAGTGTCCCGCTGCAGCATCCCCCGGCTCATGCTACCTGCTCTTCCCGAGGTGGTGAGTGGAACTGTGGCGAGCTGCTGCCTCTTGCCTTGCATACAGCCTAGCCCTGCAGTCACCAAAAACTTAGGGTTTGAGTTTCCTGTTAAACTTAGCAAGACTTGTTTCCTAAGTTAGATCCCACAGCTTCCTGAAGCTCATCCACGTATTGCTGCCTAAGATCTGGATTCCATTTTTCACCTCTGCTGAGGAATATTACCCTGTGACCTCTAGCTTCTTGCCCCGCCTCCTTGCTCAATGACTCTGGTCAGTTTTCTCTCCACATATATTTCTTCAGTGCCTTGATCTCTTGTGATCAGAAGTTGATCTCTTTTGATCATAAATGCGACAGTACTCTACATCCTCTTTGGGACTTCCTGAAGGTGGGGGGAGGCAAGAGAGGGGCTTCATTGTGCTGCGTGAGGTGGCTTACCACGAAGAGTCCCAGGGTAGGGTCCCGTACCACAGTGATTTTCCCACAGATGATTTTTAAACTTTCTTTTAATACAACTAGGACTGGAGAGATGGCTCAGTGGTTAAGAGCACTGACTGCTCTTACAGAGGATCCAAGTTTGATTTCCAGCACCCACATGGCGGTTCCAGGGGATCTGATGCCCTCTTCTGACTTCCATGGGCATTGCATGACATGGGTGTACTTACACACATGCAGTTAATACACTCAAATACATAAAATAATTAAAAATAGTAATAAATAAAATATAGCAAGGCCACACCTCCTGATGGTTCCATGATCCTCCCCAAGTTTTAAAACCTTTCTTTTACAGCTTTTATTTACAATAGCATGCTTATTGTAGCTACTGTTCAGAAACTAACCACTTCCCATTAGTTTGTGACTTTAAGTATCAGTCTGTCCATTTTATCAAAGTGCTTTCTAAAGTAGGTGTCAGTGAGGTGGCCCCTGCTCAGTCTATGTTAATCAGTCTTTGCTTGGTGGTGGTAAGCTGAATTGTCAGTAGTGCCTCCTCCCTTCTCCTTACTTGTTGATCCACACTGTTTTGTATAGGCTCCCCATTTTAAGACTGAGAAACTGAAGTTAAGGTGATTAAACATTCTGGCTTGATGTGGTGGGCCTGATTTTGCACTAGTTCTCTTTAAACTCAGTTTGACCCTTATCTTAGTACAAGCACCAGGCTGAAGGCAGGGCTTGAGTTTACTATAGGTCTGTCACTGTGTGAGATAGTCACTGGTTGTTTGTTGAACCACTTCTGTCCTCCTGGGCTAGATAGGAGACAGGCAGAGGAGGAAAAGTCATCTCTTCTCAGCTTCTTTGAATGGTTTCTTTCATAAAATTATGGATTTTAGATCTGGGGGCCGGGGGTCAGGTCATCTATGTGTCTGCTAATTTTCAGCCCAAGGAGCTAATCCTCCCAGACCTTCGATCCCCATCCATCTAATTCCAGGCCAAGTACACCAAGACCCTTAGTAACTCCTTTTTCTTATTGCAAAAGATTACATTATTTGTTGGGAAGTGTACTAATTATTTTTCTAATTACTAATTACTTTTCTGTTGCTGTTGTAAAATAGCATTACCAAGGCATCTTACAGAAGGGTTTATTGGGCTTAAGGTTCCAGAGGAATGAGTCCATCATGGTGGGGAGGCAGGGCAGGAGGCGGCTGGGGTAGAAAGCTGAGTGCTCACATCTGCACAGGAAGCAGAGAGCAGAACTGGAAGTAGGACAAGCCCATGAGCTCTTAAAGCCCGCTGCCAGTGACATGCTTCCTCCAGCAAGGCCACACTTCTTGGAGGTTCCATGACCCTCCCCAAACAGCATCACTAACTGACCAAGTGTTAAAGTATATGAAGCCTATGGGGACAGTCTCATTCAAACCTCCACAGGAAGTTTAGACGGTAGACAGAAGAAAAGTCACTCTACCAACATAAGATGAGTTTCATCAGCCCATGTGCCTGCCTGTTGTCTCTTTGTATTCATTGTCACATTGTGTTTGCTGCTTGGCAGCTGGCCTATCTAATGCTTGGTGAACTGCGTGGGAAGACCTGGGCTCCCAGCTTCTGTGGCTGTGGTGTCACAAGCTGCCTCTTCATAGCTGTTGCTCGTTATTGTTGAAGCTTCTGCTCTTCAGTTTTCAACGTTCTCGCTGGATGTTTGGCATCAGTGAATTATTTGTTACCAAAGTTTTGTTCATGGGGTTGGAGAGATGGCTCAGCAGTTAAGAGCACTGACTGCTCTTGCAGAGGACCCGGGTTCAGTTCCCAGCACCCACATGGTGGCTAACAACTGTCCATAATTCCAGTTCCAGGGGAACCAATGTCCTCTTCTGACCTCCGCGGCATTGCACGACACGGGTGCACTCCCATACATGCAGGCAACACACTCATACACATAAAATAAAAATAAAAATAATAAAAGAATTAAAAAATGTTTTGTTCATAAATTCCAGAAAGATGGAAGTGAAGTGCACGGCAGGGGGGGGGGCTCTTAATATCCTAGTAATGTGACGCTGTGTCGTAACAGTGTGGTAGCCCTGAGAACTCACTTCTTTCCCTCAAAGCTGGGTGGTGTGATGCCCACGATTGCCAGACTGCCTGGATTCTGGTCTGGCTCGTGCACATTGGGGATGTGCAACCACTGGGTCTCATGTTTATCTGTAAGATCACTTCTTACAGTGTGGTGGGGTGTGTGAGTTAGTTATTTTAAACAACAACAACAAAAAAACCCTCAATATTTTCTTACCTTTTGCCTTAAATGTTAGAGTGTAATAGATTCTTACATTGCTTCTGTGGTCTTATTAATTGGCAGACTCATTCTCAGGACACTGAGACTTAGATTGATTGTCTCTATTCATATGGCTACTTAGCCTGCATCTGTCCTACCTGAACCATGTGTCTCCTGCCCTCTTCCTGAGTGTGTATTCTGTTTCTCTTCCTAAACTCTGTGGTGTGTTTCCTGTCCCTCTTCCTAAATTATGTATTTCCTGTCTCTCTCCCTGAACTGTGTTTCTCTCATCACTTTCCTTGAACCCCATGTCTCCCTGAACCCTGTGTCTCCCTGAACCCCATGTCTCCCTGAACCCCATGTCTCCCTGAACCCTGCATCTCCCTGAACCCTGTGGTGCATCTCCCTGAGCCCCACGTCTCCTTCACCTCTTAACTTTTTTCTTTTTCTTGTTGTTGCTGCTCTAGGTTTGTTGCTCCTATTAACCCTTCCTTTCCTTTCTCCCCTCCCTTTCTTCTCCTCTCCTCTCTTCTTTCCTCCATCCCTCTGTCTTCACTCCCTCTGTCCTTTCCTCCTGTTCTGCCCTTATTTCTCCTTCATTCTTTTCATTGAATGAGAATTTGAGTGACTCCACAGGCGTGCCCTATTTTGGATGATGAATAAGTCACAGTTCCATCTCTTGCAAGGCGTCTACATGCACAGGCAGCATGCTAGTGTGGTCGGGTCGGATGGAGACGGAGGGGCTGCTGAGAAGACCTGGTGGGGAGACTTCTGGAACAAGTGGTATTTGTGCAGTGACCTAAAGGCTGAGTCAGTGAGACCAAGACTTCAAATTAGCAGATGATTCATAATAATATATGGGTCCCTCAGTATTTTGAAGAGCTTCTTAGAATGAATCAGATTGGTCAGATTTCTTTTAAAAGCTTTCCAAGGAAATGTGAACTGGTACATTATTTGTTTCTTACAGCAATAAGCAAAGCTTCTCTGAGTCACACACAGTATTAACTTTAGAAGTGCAGTCAGAGGTGGACTCTGTCTTTTGGACAAATAAGTCACTGATAATATTTGCATTATTCCGGGTGGCTCATTTTTGAGCCACCTTGGAGCTCTGTGGGGTGGCAGTATATGTATTCATCGCTCACAATTCTGGAATTTAGTATATAGGCAAAGCCCATGGTGTCTGGAGCCAGTCCATTGGCTGGAAATGTTGGCTTGGCTTGGCTAGGGCTCCAACTCAGAGTCCTCAGCATTTCCCCAAGTGGTGGCTCCTGTGTCTAAATGTCCAAGGTGGCTCCATTTTTTTTAAGTCTGTACCTGGGCTAAGATGGTAAAACCAGCTAAGGCCCAGCTGACTTCTCTTTCCAGAAGCCTGGGCTTCTTTAAAACATCCTGGTCCCTGAGGAGCTGAACTTCTTACATAGCACCTGACTTTCCTCAGAGCAAGAATTTCAAGAGTCCAGAATGGAAGTTTCAAAGGTTCGTAAGACAGCCCAGGGTACCGTGCAGTCTCCTCTGCTGTCTTCTAGCCGTGCCTGCTGTGCTTGTCGAATGCTTTCAGGGCTCTCACACTGGCAGGTGCTGTTCATTGGCTGTCTTGAGGACTAGCCCTGCATGCCTTCCCTGTAAAGCTTAGGGAATTAGTGTATGGTCAGTCCTACGGACCTTGTTCCCTCTAGTTCCTCTCCCTCATAAATGCAAAACACATGG